AAAGCCGGCGAGGAGTGTCCCTCTAATTTATATCTCCTACTCGCCTCATCTGCATCCATTCCCCATCCTTCCTATAACAAACGCCTAATAAATCATCTGCATCCAACTCTCTCTTGAAGTCTGAGGTTCAAGGATCAGAGGGTTGACGGGCAGCTCTTACACTCTAGCCTGTGCTAGGCTGAAATACATACGCTCACTACCTTCTTTCATCAGATGGGAGGTTTCGATGCGTTTTGCTAAAATTGATGGATAGAGACTAAACAAACCCAGTAACATAAAAAAGTCTTGCTGTCCAGTAATTTTAAAAACGGCCTGTAGTTATTGCCTGTCTACCCTCTGGTCCCTGGTTCTCAGACTTTAAGGGGAAGTTGGTTGTAGACGATTTATTAGGCATCTCTATAAGAAGGATAGGGGAATAAGATACAGATGTGATGAACAGGAGGTGTCAATCGCAGGGAGGCTCCTCGTCGACCTCGCGCCCGTGATCCACGCTTCCAATTGGTTTCCGCCTCTCGCCTATAAAAGTCCACTTAAACAACTAGAATATATTACACGGCATTTCAATAGTAAACTATGCCCTGTAAACAGCGCTTTAATAATTTGCATGTACGAATCGTACAAACAAGGCCAAGGGTTTGTTCTTGGACCTTTGAAATTAAGATATACAGATATTGTATGAAGATGAGACCGTTAAACATACATATATCAGCTTAACCTCTTACATTACCTTGCGTAGTTGCGAATACAATCGAATATTACAGCTTTGAATAGATTTGTTTTAAGCGATATTTGTGCTACCTCGGTTCTTGATTGTTGGAATCTTTCGTGTTCATTTTTGAAGTCGTGTTTTTTCTCAAAATGTCTTATATGCTTGCCCACCTAACCAATGGTTGGCAGGTTGATCAAGCAATTTTATCCGAAGAGGACCGTGTCGTTATTATCCGTTTTGGACATGATTGGGATCCTTCTTGCATGGTTATGGATGAGACACTCTTTCAAGTTGCAGAAAAAATAAAGAATTTCGCTGTTGTTTACCTTGTCGACATATCTCAGGTCCCTGACTTCAACAAGATGTATGAACTGTATGACCCTTGCACAGTAATGTTCTTCTATCGAAACAAGCACATCATGATTGATCTTGGAACTGGCAACAATAACAAAATAAACTGGCCCATTGAAGACAAACAAGAATTTATCGACATTGTTGAAACTGTGTATCGTGGTGCTCGCAAAGGTCGAGGTCTTGTTGTTTCTCCCAAGGATTACTCAACCAAGTATCGCTACTAGCTCTGTTATTTTTCGATGGAATAAATTTCTGTACATACATGTGCTACTTTCGTTGACTGATGGTATTTCGAGTAGGTGAGCATGGGGCTTAGTATTTTTTTACTAGTCTTACCGATAATCTGCCTCCTATCTGGAGAACTTGTGCGGGTATTTCTCACCTGTTCATTGGCAGTGGTCCACTCGCTCTTAGTTTCGAACAATTCAAATCTGTCTCCCAACGGACATGTTTGCTTGACTTCAAAATAAAGCAGAGGTGAGGAATTGGATGCTCCTATGTGGTCTTTGACATTCTGGAGTGTGTGATCTCGGTACCACTGCGACTGGTACCAGCCTTTGCTAAGTTGGGTCAAAGCATCATTTGAATGAAAACTACAGCACCCAGCTTTATTCGTGTTCTTTCGCCTCCGCTTTGCACAAAATCAGTAATTCAGAGTGATTTCCTTGATATTCTAATTATCTTCCATGGACTCGGTACATAACTAAATCTGAGGTCGTTTTAGTTAATTAGGTTTGCTTTGGGGCTCCCTACTTTCACTTGCGTCTCCGAACCCACCTCTGTGTATGAACACAGAGAATACGGGGCTTTGTATTGACTGTGTTTCTGCTCCTCCTTCTGAATTGTGCATTTAAAAACATTAGAATTGCAAAAGTCGTCCAGAAATGTCCAACTTTTTCCTTTATTATTAGTGTCTCTCTTCACAGTTTAAGCTGATTTGACTAGCAGCCAAGTCGTTCAGGTAGCGCACATTTTAAGCCCTGGCGTATGGGAACAATTACCGACCTAGGCAACCTAAACAAGAACTCTTTGAATGGAATCGGCACTCATTGATTCGTGAAGGTTAAAATCCGTCACTAATGTACCGTTGTTTGCTAAGTTCAAAGCGAATTACACTTTTTGATTGAGCGAGAGTAGTGGCCCATTGCACTTGAGCTTGCGAGCTCAAAAAAAACTACGACTTTGGAAACAACTGAACTACTTGCGTGTTACATAGGCTATTGCAGGCATAGAATATGGTACGAGTTCCAATCCACCTGTTGTTTAGCAGAAATGTGCCTGTTTATTGTCCCGGTTTTCCACTGGGTTCCTTTAGGACCTTCTACGTTCTGTAGGCTTACTTAATCGTATTAAGTATTATTGTGATAGCTTTCATACTCAACGTACGATAAAAATAATCGATATGGCAAGATCTATGGCAATTGACAATATGACCACAGAAAATGCTATTTTGTTATCTTCATAAAATAGTTGCCCGAGGAGGCTTGCTCTTCGATTATAAACAGCTTCAGTTCGTCACTTCAGCGATTGAACTCTCAGAGTATGTCATTAGTTATGCAAGACGATGCTCTACAGCGGCTGATATTTGTTTTTAAAGCGATTCTGGCAGCTCTATAATGCGACATTTAATTAGACGCATCATCGCCTTCTATGCGAATTGCTGTTACACTCCTCAACTTCGCCCAAACATGCAGTGCCTCTTCATCGCATTCAAATCTAATGAAGTATTTGCTATTTTTTAGCAGTATGCAGGGCACAAGTAAGTTGCTACAAGTTTTCGTGACGGTAGATAAGATTGTTTCAAGCGATTGAATAAGCACCACATTTGTACAAATATATTTGCTTCAGACGCAAAATAGAGTACTTACAGTCTTTGTGACAGATTGAAATGGTCTTTTGAGGACAGCTACATATAAGGTAGAGGTAAAACCCCGGTGAAATGCGCTGCCCAAAATTCTTCCACACTTTTTTGCGCTGAGTGTGTTGTATGAAAATGATGCAGCAAAAAAAACTGACAGATAGTGACAGCGGACTCGAGTAGTACCATTGTCTCTGCTGATTTCGCTAAATTGGCATTAACTCCATAAAGCAAAGGAAGCAGGAGACATTCAGAACTTCTGAGCATTCAATGGCCGTGATAGATAGTTTCAACTGTAGTTCACAAACTTCCCTGATGACGTGATCAATGACATTCACTGTAGACTTCTCAGATTACAAATTTTGCCACCCATTCGCCAACGGTTCGCAGCGCAGTCAAGCACTCATGTATATGCATCAATTTTAAAATGAAAACAATGAGTACCAATCTAATATTGCAAATCTTTGTCTTTGTAGGTGCAACCGGGATGTTACGATGATTTCCACAAGACCTGCTGAATGTTCTATGTGTTAATCTCAAACTGCATTGTATTTTTCTCTTTTCGGATATGTACACATACAGCAGAAGGATGGTATACGTGAGAAAAAAGGAAATGAGTCATCGATGGCATTGACCCGAGAGGCTGGAAAGACTGAAAAGAGAGCGAGGGGAAAACTTACAGCAAGAAAACAGCGAAGAGAGGCATCATAAATCAAATGATAGAAATCAGAGGGTATGGGGTCGCTTGCAATAGTGTATACACAAAAGGGATGAGGATTATCAGCTTAAAAATTGCACAAAATAGATCACAGAAAGTACGGATGAAGGGAGCGACCAACTTGCTTAGGTTGACTGAGCTAATGATGTTTATTGGAAGCGCCTGTGCACACATCCACGGATGTAGGTGGTATGTGTATGTGTGAATAATTATACGGGAATAGGAACTCGGTTCTACTTAGAATCATATGAGGAGTGAAAAGGGAAGAAGGAAAGGAGGCAATGCAAACAGAGGTAGTGGATGGCGATACGCTCGCCCTACCACAATCACCTCAAGTGACCTTGTAATTGGATGGAAGACTTCTTTGTGTTTTTTTTGTCAGTGGAATCGGGTGCCTCGTTCAAGCAAGTTGATCCAGCAGTACCAGCTCCTCGTAACCTGGAACCGATCACATAATATGGTGAAGCACCGACTAGTAAAACCATAGATTTACTCATTGAGGGTGGGTAGCGTGTACCATGAAAAGTATTGTGTGCTACTCAATCATAAATCCATGCTGATTCGTTATAACTGAAGAGGATTTCAAGCAACAAAATTGATTCTCGCTAAAAATTTTTGAAGATATATCAAAAAACGGCAACGAATGAAGTTAAGAACGAATGCAAAAATGAAACCGCAGCTCATTCTGATTTTGTAGTTTCGCAATTCGAACAAGTTCCAAGTGAAGCGAGGAGCACAAAAAAGCCAAAATTGCTCGGTTAGTGAGACAAAAGTGAAAAACATAACTTCACAGTAAAAATAGCAACTAACGCAGGAAAAAGGACAAAACAAAGTCGTACCATGAGATTACTCAATGCAAATGCAGAATGCGCACGTACGCGGCTATGAATATGGCGCGAATAAATCAAACTCAAGGCCTCAATTATAATAATGAAAGTTTCAAATGTTACGATTGTTCTTAATGAGGGAGAGAAGAGCGAGGCATATGGTGAACACGACAAAAAATATTCTGTGGAAAAAAATAATGCATCAGCATCATGCTAAGTTTTAGTCTTCTCTTGGGAGTCGCATTACCACAGACATGCAAATGCTAACCGCCACTTCTCCTTTTAGTCTAAGTAAGAAAATGCAAAGGAACATTTAAACCTACTTGCTACCATTGATGGAATCGGTGTCAGTGGGGATGGTAACGCTAGTGATCGGGTTGGAGTCAGAGGGGAGGACCTTGCCGCGAAGGGAAAGCGAAACAGAAGTGCAGGGAGGAAGGGGAGACGAGGAGAAAGGACTGTTGCTGGAGCTCGGTTCGGAGGGCTGCCGCACGAGGATTGTCGATGAACTCACAGCGGAGCCAAGAACGTCCGCATTACTAGAGCCCACTGCCGCGTACCGTGCAGGAGGTGGGTTATCCCGCAGAAACTCTACCACATTGCCAGGGTCACCCTCTGCTAGGCGTTGGAAGTAGGGGATCAATTCTAGCAGCGCCTTATCCGATTTGTCGTCAAACCACGAGGTTATATGCACCTGCGACAGATCATATACGTAATAAATAGTAGGCTTCAAACAATAGTAATGAAGGAGTTTTAAAAAACGACAACGGCTACAATTTGTGTAGTTTGTTAATGAGCCGGTGAAAAGAACGAAATGTGATACATCATTTCAACGGAAAACATTTAAAGGACATTTTTTACGAAAGAGGAAAGCTTATAGATATCAAATTTTTCTGTGGTTATCTTGTATCGCCACGGCGACCTCCTGATCGGAAAAGTAAGATGCACGAGCATCAGAAAATATCTTTGATATGATTTACCAAATCACACTGATAACACCCGTTCTCCATCAAATGCGGTATGATAGACGCAGATTCAATGATTGGGTGAATTCCCACAGCCGCATCTTGATAGTTTGGGTGATGCGAAAACATCCATTTACGAGGATGACAACCAATCTCATTTAAGTTTACGGTTCCCGTTATATGAGGCCATAAGTAGATTTGGTGGTTAAGAATACCTTCAGTCCAACTACAATTGGATCAGATCAGTTAGGTGGATAGCAAATTGACAAATTTCCTCTAAGTGGTATCTTTTCGTCACAATGTTCATAAACCGTGTGACAAAGGTCACACATACGGTGTAATCCGCGTTTCACTGTATGAGAATTCAGCCAAAGTCAACCTTTTAGTAGGGCTTCACACATAGTTTTTTGGGAAAAAATAAGCAAAGGCTTCGTATTCATTCTTAAAAGATCACACCTTGCTGATGCAGTGGACGCAAAGACATTTTACAAATTCCTCGAGGAAAGTCAAATTAATCTCTTGGATGATCGTGAATCACTTGAAGGAACTTTCACAAACGCTACGAAGTTCGCTTACTGTTATCTGTGTAAAAACATATTTATCCCAAGAACGATACATGTAAAATGCTCACAAAAAGCAGAAGGCAGAAAAAAACATGGTTAACACCAAACCTCAGGACTGATATCGACGACCACTCTATTTTTAATAGCTACACGTGCCTATGCAGTGTTGAAGGGATTAAAAATTTCATATCAAAGTCAATTCACCGTTCTTGATACCGCATAATTCACGAACTTATGATTTTGGCGATAGTGAGCAAATATAATACCAGACAGGATCCAACTACTGTGCAAAATATGGAACAAACGCGAAGTTGCCAATAATTTGATGCACTTGCGCAGAGCAATGAGTAGGGAAGAGAGTGAGATTGAGAAAAAAGCCTAACTAAAATATAACCTCCTTGAGAATTAGCAGTAGGTGGAAGCATTATTTTAGAAAAAATGATTGATTTGAACTTTGAGCTCAAACTTCTCCTAAAGCATTCTCTCATTTTAGGTAATGGAAGTAAATAAACGCTAATTGACTAATTGCCCACTGGCTATTAGTTAAAGATGAGGACTCACAGCTCAGTGAAATACATTAGACGCATTGGAATTCAGGATATTATTTTAGTTAGAAAAAAAGTGGTTGGTTAAGCTGAAAGTTAGTTTTTCAAAAACCATTTTGACAAACCACCTCCAAGGTGTCGTTTGTTCAGGGAGAAGTGGGAATTACGAAGGTAATGCCTTCGTTTGACCCGTGTCATTATGAAGAAGGGTGACAAATTTAGCAAAAAACACTTTCCATAAATGCCCAGACATTTCAAATGTTTTAAAAGACATTAGTATTGCAGAACTAGCAGCCATATTAACGCCTTGCGACACCTACGGATAGCGAATGATACAGAGCCAAAAAATCCCCCACAGTATCAATTGACAATCAAAACGAAAAAAACGGATTTAAAAGGTTTCCAACGGACCCGTTTTTTGACAACAGTAAGTGAAAAATGTAAAAGGACTCCTGGAAAGCAAACCCGCAATAGAATTGTCCGATATACAAAAAAAGAACTTTCTAAAGCGAGTAAGAAGCTACACAAAATGCTGTTGCAAATCCTCATTGTGTTTGCAAAGGAAAAGAAAATAGCGAAACTATGAAGTGACTTACTGCGTTGGTCTCATGAAACATGTACGATGCGGGGGAGTTGTCGAGGATGACGACCTGCTCAATAGGCCGACCCAACTGGGAGAGGTCCTTTACGTAGTTGCCTTGGTGGTAAACGCAAGCCTCCCGAAACAGACGGTAGCGAAAAACGTGCCATTTGTCCAAAAAGTCAGCCACCGGGTCGGCATACTGCGTAGAAAAAAGACTGTGATAATTACAATTACAAGGTGAAAGAAAAGCAATGGTTAAATTGTAAAATGTCACAACTTCTAATGAACGCGAAAGTGCTTGAGACAAGCGTTAGCGCATTACGAAATGCATTTTGTACAGAAGCAGTTTAGCAGCATTTTGAAGCATCTACAAGGAATTTAATCCATTAAGCATTGGTCAGTTTACAATTACAGAGACCATTCATTAGCGTCAAAAACTAGCCCTTCATGTGGCTTCGCCATTGGCAACGTGCCAAAGCTGAGAAGGTTAGGCCTACCAAAGAGAATATAGACCGACAGCTGCAGCTGACAAGAGTAGCTCCATTAGCCTAGTGGGTAATGAGATTGTGCAAACGAGTAGAGAAATCGCATATTTTTCCGCATAGCTGGACCTCACGAACACAAGGCCGAGAACTGACAAACTATAGTGAAAATAGTGGCGAAAATGAGAGGGCGACGACAATACTTCGACGCTATCCGCAAATATTCTACTGGCTCTCACAGCGACAGCACCATCTATCAACTGGATGGTCCGTACAGGTAAGTACAGGACAAACGATTTCGCATAGTTTATTCAAATTTACAGCTACTTCATTATTGGAGGTCGGACAATTCATAGTGAGCAGTACTAAAGATGACTTTTACTGTACGAAACACTAATTTATAGCATCAATTAGAGGCAATTTTGAAGAAATAGGCAAGTCCAGAAGTACCAAACTGAACATCCTTAAAAGTGATCTATAAGATCAATTGACAAGACTTAGTACACATTTATCATACGACCTTCTTTAAACTGAAAACGGTTTATAAGATGACAAATTGATCGAGAGTTAGGCATACAAAGTGTTCGGTCGGATGCAAAAAATCGCGGAGTAATCACGCAAACAACACTTCAAAAATTGCTATTCACGTAAAATCGACCAATCAAAACATGCTAAATGTTAGGTGAAGAAGCAGAAATCGTTGAAGACTCAAGAGCGAAGTAACGCAGGCTAGGATCTCCCAGTGACATCGCACGACTTATGCGAGTTTGCCAAGTATGCGTTGAGTGTAATAAGGTTACTGTTTTAAATCGAAGTTATCACGTTAATGATGCAATCAAGCTCGCAAGTGGAAGAAATCTGGCAAACAAAGAAAAATGAGATTAATTCATTGTCGTAAAGAAACAAGTTCCAGCGGCGCTTTTAGAAAAAATACAGCACTATTCTAACAAAAAAAAACCTACATGTACAGTAGCGTGAGTTATGTAGCGAATGTGAGATTATTTTTACTAAAAAACAGAACATTTTAAACCGATCGCCGTAAAAAGTGGTATTGAATGTGATTTACCCCCATCCTTAATTTGTGAGTCAATAATCTCAGTCGGATTGCGCAGTCAAAAAAACGGCAAAATGACAGTCAAGTCGCATCAGAGTCACATTGGCCAATTTCCTGACCAACCAGTGTTCAATTTTGGTCAGCAAGATAATCAAGAGTCTAGAGAAATTAAAGCAAAACGGATGTTTGAGAGCCCACACAAAAGCTACGCATGTGAAACAGGAAAAAAGCGCTCCACAAAACTCGATTGATGAAAGGTAAATTAGCGATCCTCACATTCGTGAGAAATAGGCAGTGACTTTAAGTGGTTATGGTTGCTCAAGGGGAAGATAGGCCAAATCAAAACACGAATGCTAGGCATAGGAAAAAACGCATTAGGAACTTAAGTTTTGTTGCAAAAGCGAAAGAACCCCCTGTAGGCATAAGCTAACGTAAGAAGTAACAAACGATTTTTGACTAGGTGCAAACTCCAAAAAAAACCACGTACTTTTATGCAAGACGGATTCACTGAATTCACACATCAATCTTGTTTATTAGACATTCGCGCAAAGCGCAAATTGAATAGGAATTATTTAGTGTGCAAGAGAAAAGGTTGTCCACCAAAAGATAAAGGAAATCACCACTATTAACTATCAAGATCCTCAATTATTCCCCCAAAACCTGCAGAACACATTGAGCTCCGATCATATTTTGAGTAAAAATAGGCTTATGAGCGAAATAAAAGACTGAATACTTACTGGTAAACAAAATGAGAACGCATGCAACGCTCTGATGCTCACAATACCTACCGCATAAATTGTTTGTTCGGAAACAACGAAAAAGGGAGTTCGGGTTCAGAAGAGAATTCTAGCAATAATTTGACATATCGCTTGAACACAAAGAGCGCTGATTGACAGTGGCATGAATCTAACAAGACCTTTCAGGTTAAATAGCGTCACGTAGGTGAATAGATGGGAACTACTTGTTTCCAAAAAGTGCACTTTTACCAACAGTGCTTGAGGAAATAAACAATTTATGGGTCTTCAATGTTTACACGAAACACGGAGATCTTCAATAATGAATAAAACAATGCCTCGTTACTACTCATGAGTAAACATCCGAGTAGATGGTTGAACGAAAAGTTATTTAGAAAAAAACAGCGGGTATGACAAACATCAAATGGGAGTTCCAGATAGCATGGCGCTAAAGTTTATTGTAAGGGTGCAACTGGTGAAATTCTACAACCGCAAATTGCGTTCACTATTAATGGAGGCGTCAAATGATTAAGGTGAAATAGAGATAAAAAAATGAACAGCGACACCTGATGGTAAGAACGAGAAATCTGTTCGCCATAACTTTAGGAAGATGGCTTCCGATGCAAAAAGCAGTGACATTCCGTGTGCAAGTGTGCCTTACTCCTTGAATACCATACCACATTCGTGACAGTACTCACTTCTACATGAGTGCGCGAGGTTGATACAATGTGTTTCAGCTAGAAGCTCCTCAATCCACTCAAAAAACAGGTCAAACCGCCTGATAAGCCTCAAGCAAATGAAGAAAACAAGGATCATACAAATTTCCAAAGCATAAGGCAAGATCTCAGATAACTGTCAGACCTCCTTCCTCTTCCGCCCCAGAGAAATAATCAATCAAAAGCCGGTTCAAAACGACGGGGCCGATTTGTTTCGCTAAGGCGCTAGCGTTTCAAATCATAAATAAATATTGACAGCCCCATTAAATTAAAATTATTTTGTGACCACCGCGTATTTTTGCAAATGCTCATGGTAACAAAAGGTCAGCATAATTTAAAGTTCGATTATACATGGACACCATTTGAAACCTAGTTGACTGTGGTTCTGTGGGGGTGATAATTTAATAAGGCGCGATACAGCCAAATACAAAAAAGTTACAACGAACAATAAAAATGCATGAAGCACACACCTTGGAAAGACTTGCGGTGAACAGTACACACTCGTAGATATTAGCCATGGCTCGGAGGAATTCGTCCACATGTGGCCGCTTGAGTACGTACACTTGGTGCACCACATTGTCAATTTCAACTCCCACCTTGAAATCTGCTTTGTCTACGGCCTGACAACACAGGAAAGATGGATTGTAAAGTAAAAGACGTCAGAGGTTGACATTAGTAGAGAGTAAAGATGTTACGAATTTCTCGCTTTTAGAAAATATAGGCCATATAAGGACTTTCAACATAGTGAAATCGCTCCACCTCCCAAAGCGGTTACACAACGAGGTTCCGATTAAATTTTCCCCTACCGTTTCAGTGCTCATGAGCATTGCCATGGTGATTGAGAAACACGCGCAAGTGAAACTGCAGACTTCCAACTAAAGATAGAACAGTTACAATATTGTACGTTGGGTGATAATTAGACTGTGGCTGAAAGGAAGGGTGTAGTATTCTTGATCAAGTTTGGAGCCTAAAACCGGACTGCTTGACGTTCCCATGGAAAGCTACTGAAACTTAATAATGAGCCAATGACCTAATAACAGAACATTTAAAGTAGAAGATTAGTGACCACATGTATTGCTAACACGTCAAAAAGCTTTCTTTAACCCAAATAAGAAGAATTTTCAAAATTAATTCACCTAACAGTCGCCACAAGTTGTTAGCATCAAAAATAGACACTTAATAGGGACTTGATAAGCACTCGACCACTTTCGGAAACAAACTTGCAACTAGCTACCAAGATTGTATTTTAAAACGGTATCTTTAGACGCAATTCACACCACCGTATAGGTGTTGGCGCCCACATTCCATTTATTTTTAGTCACTCTACGAAGGAAGTAAAAGAAACACAGGAAAAACTAGAAGCCAAAGTTAAAACTGATTTTTGGCGACATCCAGATATTCAGCAAAGCAGATGTTATCATTACCAGTTCTGGAGCACATGCTTTCTGAGCACTAATGCATTCAAGCAGTGTGATTAATGACTTAGCGTGTCGCGTAACCATGTTTTAAAAAAATGAGTAAGCTGAATATGCAAAAGCAAAGATTCAGAGCCGCAATTATAGCATGATGAGACAGTAACATCAATGAAACACAACACCCTACCTTGAAGGAGCTGTGAACAAGCGTTTCATCGAGGTCAATGATAAAACACTTCTTGCCCCGATCCGTTTCTTTTTGTGGACCAAGAAGGGTTTGACGCTTAAAAAGGAAATGCTCGGTTACATCTTACTAGGGTCACCAATGGTGACAAATTTACAGTAAAGACGGTTTAGTTTTGATAGCCCTGTTGTGTAGCTACTACCACATAGTAGCCTGCTGAATTCACTTGACGAAATAATAAAAATTAGACACTGGCAACAAAAAGGCAGCCCATTTCAAGAGTTGCTAAGCGTTTTCAATACTCCTGCATAAAAGCAAAAAACAAATAAGTACTTAGCAACATTCACACGAATGCCAGCACGAGCAGGTATACCTGTTCCATTGAATTATTCTCTACTTGAAGCGGTTTTGAGCTATCAGACGCATCCTTGTTTGACAACTCCAACACCTCCGCCACACTGTCTAGGTTATTTGCTCCATTTCTTCGGCGCCGTTTGGCTATGTAACATCTCAACTTCGAGAATGGAGACCAAAACAAAAGAGAGTGGGACTTCTCATCATCTAGGGAATTAGTAGTTTCCCGCCCACCATGAGCGCCATTCGAGGACGATTCCGGCGGCATATTATTATTACGTGACCCAGAAGATGGCAACACGCTACCACTCACTGGGACTTTATACTGGCGAACTTGGTCGTTCACTGATAGCGAGGCATCGGAGAGGTCTTTGCTGCTCTTTGGCAAACATCCGCAAACAAGACAATCAAGGTAACAAAACCCAAACCGACCATTACTTCTTGCTTTCAGCGGGCGAGAGGTTCTGAAACAATGCTTAACTTCGGCATCCTGCGAGCCGCTTGCAAATTTAGGATTAACAATATCATCCTGAACAGGACCTGTCAGCAGTGGCATCAACACAGAACCCGGCAAACAAGGTGCAGCATTACGTACAGTAATCTGCTCCGGATCATTTTGCATTGCCATTCTTAGGAAAGAAATTGAAAATAAGTAAGGGAGGGCCGATGCGTAAAAACGACTAAGTGGGAGGCTTCGTACAAAAACTTCACCCTTGAAGATAAAAATCAATTCTTGACAGAGTTTAACAGTGTATGGAAACATGCCCTACAATTTCTACTATCGATATCCATAGATAACAAGTTCGAAAATACGAAGCAAATGCAGAAAACCGTGCGTCCAAACAGCCGCCTATTCCGGAGCGGTTATTTCCACGAAAACTGTACCAGTCTGGACCAATTAGAAATCAAGGCCGTAGGTTTCCATAACATTCTATGTAGTCAAACAAAATAAAACTTTCCCACTACCGAAACAAATATATAATCTTACAACATATATATTAGCAAAGTACTGTGCAAGTTTGCATAATAAATTGTAACAAAGCTATACTGTACGATTTTTTTAAAAAAGACTTAACAAACTATCGACATTTTAGCATGGCAGAAGCCACTAGCCTTGCAAACTATTCATCTCTGGATTTTTTCAAGCAGCATTTCTTTTCTTTTTTCGTACAAAGTTTGAAAAATTTGATAGTTTGGCTTGGTAGATTATGAAATTTATTAAATATTTGCTTTTGGTGTTGTAATGCTTTGTTTATGTGACTACCTGACGTTCTGCGGTCACTTCTAGATTGTTGTGGCACTTGTGTGTGGATAACGCTTTGCGTTATGCTTAGGTTCATTCCCCTCTTTTCTTCAGAGTACATATGTCCGGCCTCACTTACCTTCTTCTTCTACCCAATAGGTAGCCTCGGACGCTGCAATTCTAAAAGCACTTATTAATCTAATATTTCTGCTGCCTATCATTAAACGGTAGATGGCTTTTGTTAGGACGAAATATACTATATCCCTTTGAAGCTTCCGCGATGGTTTTTTGCATTGCCCCTCCTGTGAGCACTAACGATCTGCTTGGTCGGTTTATGGCATTTTCATATAGCACAAAGTGCATTGTAATAACTAGTGAGATGCGTCCCGTTGAAGGCATC